TATATGTTTATGATGTATGCATAATGAATGAACCTATACAGGAATGAATAATTTTGTTTTTCTTGGTAAATATTTATCTCTTTAGTTTTTTACAGCTGTTTAAATTTTTTTACAGCTTTCTCTTTGTATTTTTTACTGTATGTAAATTTTACTCTGTACATGTTCTATTTCTATTTTTATTATCTGTTTTTACCCTTTTGTTTTTATGACCTGTAATGTGTATATTTTACCCTTTTTCATATGTGTATTGTAATCTGTGACAGGCAAAGCAAGTTTCAAGCCATTTTATGAGTTTGACCAATAAATTGAATTGAATCGATTTGAATGAATGTTTGGAATAAGTCTTGGACTAATAGTGGGTCATCCTTCGTGTGGTTCACACCAAATTACTCCTATCCTATCCTATATGTTCACTCAGGAAAAAAATATAACCTTTTAATAAAAATTCCTCAGCATCATGTGCAGTGATTTGTGAGTGCAAAAAACAGGGTGTGACTTCATAAAATTGAAAGCCATATTTTCCATTTTAATTGTTCAACTGAAACTTTGGGGTTCATCTTCCAACATTGGTTACATGTTTAGTAAACTCTGAGATGGTCTACAGTGATCCCACGTTTAGTTTTACATAGAATGGCATACAGTATGTGCAAATATTACATAATAGAAAAATGTTGTTTCATAGCAAATGTGGACTGAATTTTTAAAACATTTTATGCATTCATTAATACATTTCTATGCTGTTTCATTTTATAGAACCCCCGAAAGTAATTGTAACTGAACACCGAGTTCGTAAAGTAGCCTGTGAAAATGTTGCCGGACAGTCACCTCCAAACCAGTATTCCTGGTTCAGGAACGATGAAATTCTTGACACGTCCGATGGAAACAAGTTTGTTGTAAAGGGAAATTTGTTGCTTATATTTAACCCAGATATTGAGGATGAAGGTGTTTATACATGCAGAGCAGAATGGAATGCCAATAAAGAACACAACTTTGATGTTATGAAGATGAGTTCCAACGATGTAGAGATTTTCTACAAAGAACAGCGTAAGGAAATAATATACAATTAATTACTTTGAATTACAGTAATTAGGACTTAATCAACCAGAATGGTCAATTTAATCATTTTTTTTTTGTTTCTGTGTTGCATTTATTTTTCCACACAACATACATAAATAACTTAACAAAAACAAAGAAGTAAATAAGAATAATATTATATTACTAAAAGGAAGTGTGTGGAAGGAGGTCAAACTTTTAGCCATGGTCACCAGTTAAAATTATATATAAAAAGTCAAAGGAATTATATACTCTATTTTAAAAGTAAAAAAAAATACATCACTAAAAATAATATGAATTAAAAATAATAATTAAGTAGTAAAAGTATTTAGCTAGTGGAAATACTTCAAACAGGTGACGTTCAGTGCTATTATTTATATTTTCAAATTTCGGTCATTTTATATTTTTAATTACTATAGATTTTTATGTTCTGTGGGGTACTGTGAAATGCGGTTTGAGCAGCGATTACAAATTGGGCTATTGAAAAAATCGCTGTGCATTTCGCTTGTGTTCATGGGCAAGGCACTTTATCTATGGCTGTCTTCACCCAACAGTATAAGTCGTGCCTGGTAGGCTCCAATATCAATGTATTGTTTACTAGCTGCAAAGTTGGGTAATCTAACGACAGAGGGGTGGGGAATATGGACAATGTAATGTCCGTGGAAGCCATATGTCAGCAGCGGCATATCTATTAGGTAAGCTTGGTGCACATTCCCCCCCCCCCCTACAACCACTATTAAGCTTGTGACTCACAGTCTGCCACCCACCCACTGGAAATGTTTGAAGCAAAAAGTTACACTCAATTTAATTGTTAATAAGAACAATCACCTTATATTGCCTTATTTTGAGAGAAAGCGCTCCCTCAATTAATCATCGAGGCCCATCCCCCACTTCACCTTCTCTTCCCATTAGCCCTCCCCCCACATTTCAACAATCACTTAATTTGATTAACCTTTTACCTTTAGATGGAGAGGGTACCAGTGACTATATAACAAAGAGGAGAGACTTTATCACCAAAGAACAACGTAAGTGTCCAGATCATAATATTTTGTTTATTTTTTAGAAAAACATTCATTGGATGCAGGGTTCCCGGAACGCCGCCCTGAGATGTCAGTGGGAGCTGTAATTTGTATGGCAAGGAGATTCTGCTACCCTTAATTCGTATTAGGGGAATTTACGCCCACAAACCTTGTAGTTATTAATATTTTGGTTATAATTGAAAATTTTTATTTTTTGGTGACGTCATCACACTCACAATATAGTTTGCATGCATACGTCATAAGCTAGATTACGTCACCTTTTCCTAGTAAGGCAAACTTTCCTGGCGTGCTTTTTTCATTGATAAACAAACACCACTGCTTTGCACATGGATGCCTTGCCTAGCTAGGGCTACAAGAGCCGCATTGTTAGCATTGTATAATACTTAAACAAGGTACGTCTGCAACTGAATTATTTTTAGTTATTTTTTTATCTTATTTTAATTTATTTCTTTTGAAAGTGTACTTTCTATCACATATAATTGCACTGTCTACTTAGGCCTAGGCCTAGGCCTAGTCTTATTATGCCTCATCGTCCCCCGCTACACAGTACATCAGTAGGCTAGCGCCCCCCCCCCACGCTCAGTACAGACGTTTGCTAGGCTACAGAACGTGATTGCATCTTCCTTCCCATGTGTTCATGTAACATTTGCATATTGTTAGCTAACCAGTTGTGTGTATTCGTTTGTGAAAACCCCCTTGTTCCGTCACCTCTGGGTTTTGTAACTGTGTGTCAGGATCAGGAATCTTTACTTTAATCATGAATAAACTCTCATGCTCGTAGGCTTCTTCAACTTGTTAGGTAGAGGGGCATGGAAATACTTCCTCCTCCAGTGGTAAACAATAATGAATGACTCAGATGTGCTGCTCCGGGCATTTCCAGATTTCGGTATTGATTTCTCTCTCATCAGCCAAACCTTTTTTACTGATTATAAAAATGTATGTTGGATACCGTAAATTCTTGAAGAAGCGGCGTGGCGCTTATAAAATTTGTTGAGGCTTCAGTGCGGCGCTTATTCAAGAGCGGCGCTTTTAAAAGAATATTGTCATAGAGCTTTCCATGCTACCTATTTTACATATTCCCGTAGTTCTCTTTGGTACAAGAGCGGTGCTTATTCAAGCATTTACAGTACACAGAGGTTTGGGTCAGATAAGGAATGGTTTTTTGGGAAGAATCTTGCAGTTTTGTGGCAGAATCCAATTCAGATTTGAATGTATTTATTTCCACACAAAATATGCAACTTGGCAATGAACAACAATTATAAGAGGAGTTTGGATTGTATAGTGTATGTGGATCCAGGGGTTTCAGTAGATGTTTGAAGCAATTTAACAATAAGTACAATAATATGAAATTCAATTCAATTCAAATATTCTTCAATTCAAAAATTCTTTATTTATCCCACGTGGGGCATTTTCAAACAGGACTGAATAACAGTAAACAGCAGCATAAAAGACCCATATAAAACATAATTCAACAAAGCTATTTCTATCTACTTTTATCTAATAGCCTTATATCAGTTGTGACAAAAGAATTTAACTTCCGTTTTAGTCCTACACACATGACTCCGATATCGCAGACCATGCTAGGAGTTCAAACTCATAAAAAAGAGCATGTTCTCTTGTTTCTAAAATTTGTTTACATTTTCCTAAAATTTGTTTGTCACAGAAGGACGAGAGACTGCGTAATGGACTTCCTATTATTTTCAAGCATGAATTTAATATTTTTCGTAGAAAAGATCTATCTTTAAGGTTTAAATTATAATACCAACATATAAAAAAAAAGTTAAGACTTTTTCCACAAATGAATTATAAAACATTTTTAAAATAGACTTATTTACTTTAAATTCATTTAACTTCCTAAAGTATATACGGTCTCTGGGGGTTCCGGCCTGTTGCCCCCCGGGCCCGTTGCCACCCGGCCTTTTGCCACCCTAGGCCTGTTGCCACCCGGCCTTTAGCCACCCGGCCTTTAGCCAACCAGCCTTTAGCCACCCGGACTTTAGCCACCCGGCCTTTTACCACCTGGCCTTTTGCCACCCAGCCCGTTGCCACCCGGCCCGTTGCCACCCTAGGCCAGTTGCCACCAAGGCCTGTTCTGGGGGGCAAAAGGCCGATGGGAGCGCAGCCGGGTGGCAACGGGCCTAGGTG